CTTGATTTGATTTCTTAATTCATAGAATTTTCTGTAGAACACTATTCTTTGTGTTTTGTTTTTTTTCTCATTAAAAACTTGCGATGAAACTGATCTAATATTTTTGATGTATTATTACAAGCATTTGGGTTTGTTTTGTAGATGTTAGTACTGATTACACGACAATAGGAATATGCTTAAAAGATGCATTAGACATTAGGTACATTCAGGAGTTCTTTAGCTGGTGTTTGCTCCACTGTTTTTCGCTTACCGGTAATTTAAGTTCCAGTATCACAACTGCATCGCCATCTAATGTGGATCTGAATCTCCTCTGAGTTTTACGCAATTTACTCTGATACTAGTGAGTTTTAGACAGCGGTCATTTCATTTGAGGGGGTGTGACCTGCACCATGTATAATTAAAACACTTATTGTGGAAAACTGCGAGTACAGTCTTTTAATCGCATGAGTGCACACCATTCAGATGACGCTTCGCAAGAACACAATTTATTTCTTAATGTGCAAAACTTTATTAAATTAGCATGAAACTACTGTGCAATATTAATAGGTATATTGATAATATACCATTTGATAAAATGGAAACAAGATATGAAGGGAACAACTAAGAGTGCCAAACACACTGTGACGGTCATATTATTACTAAAAAACAAAATGCACAACATAATAAAGACATGAAAAATTGTGAATTGAGACATACATTTGTGAGAGTGCAAACAATAAATCCTTAATTATTCATAAAAGTTTCTAGAATATGTTGAAACAACACCGCAATGGTAGAAGATGCAACACCATCATTACTACTAAAGACCTGTTCACACCAAGAATTATAACTATAATATTAGCATTCACACCAGAAGACAATAATATTCTGTTTATTGTAAGTGTGTGCACAGTTTTGTTCTCAGCCGCTTTAAACGCTCAAGCTTTTTACGGACTTCTGATTTTTATTGTTTATCAGTTGGAAAAAAAAAAACTTCTGAAAGTGATTCCAATGGTACTGTTTCCAATGGTATCGTTACAGTTGTGCTATGAACATCCATCTTCTCATAGAATAATTATGACTATAGATATCGCCCTTGGTGTGAATAGGCCTTAACACTGTAACCTCAGAAAGGAGAGGTTTGAATGCAAAGCCCAATATTAGATGAATAAAAACAGACTTTACAACAATCCCACAGGTTTTAGTAATGTACTCCAAGGCAATGCTTGCAGGTGTTGTTGTTATAAAGATGCATTAATGACCGAGTGTATGTAAGTGATGCATTGTATTCAAATGCACATTGTTAGTGTTGTGTTTTGTTTTGTATCAGCACCAAGGCACTCTTGAGGCCACTTGGTCCAGAACAGCTATAATTTCTGTCCCTTGGAGCAAATATGATGTGGGGTCAAGAGGTGCATTGACCTCTCACTCCCACCCGCTCAACACAGGCAGAGTCAAAGGTGCTGGGAGTGCTTTTACATCAGCACGGTGTCTTCTGTTCTGAGGATGACGCTTAGGATTCTCTGGAAGTGATTTGAACTTTATTCCAAGTGTATCTGGGTCTCCGCCATATGGCCTTGGTGATGATCCATCTAGTGGAAATGGCAAAAATGTAAAATGTGTCATGTAAATTAAGAAAATATAGTTTGATGAAATCTGGGACCGATTTCTTACCGAAGATCCAGCTGTTGGGATCTTTCAGCGCATCCTCGCTCCTGTGAATTGTCTCACTTTCAGCAGAGAAGAACTGATAATTATGCTGTTTATAATTATAATTATAAACCTGGAAGAAGAAATGAGTCCAGTTACTTAATGACAACTTTGTTTGAATGTATTTTCAGGGCTGCTTAAACTCAAAATATTCAAAATATTTCTCTTTTAGATATTTTTGACACAGTATTGCTGGTTATTTTGTACATTTTTGGAAATAGTTCCATGAAGTCTAAGCAGAATCAACAGGCTGTAAATCGGAGGACTAGAAGTAACAGTAATATAAAGGTTACATTTGTATGCACAGTACCTTTGAAATTCTGTTCACAAGATTTTGGCTCTCATTCCAATGCTGTGTTGATATCAGGTTAGTATCGCTGATCCTGTTACAAAATAAATGTACTAGTGTTTATTATGGTTTGCAAAATGCATAAAGAAGCATTAGTGTACAATATGAAATTACCTTTCTTATTAGACACACCTGTTTGTTAGAAAATAATGACTGACACTTTGCTGGTATGTGTAAGGCCCTTTTCAGGCAGAAAGACTGTTCCCTCTGAATTTTGCAACTGAGGATCCAGTTTTTGATGTGGACTATTGAATGATGGTCCACACATGTTTAGTTCGGTGCTGTCGTCTGTCTCCTCTAAAATGGGAGTTAGCAGGAAGTCCTCTCCGTGCATTGGAATGTATGGAGCCAGACTGTCCAAGTCTAACTCGCACAGATCCTACAGTAAAGCACAGCACACAGGAAGGTTGTTCACAACCATGTATACTAAAATTCACAAATTTGGGGTCAGTAAGTGTTACTGACCGACTGTTTTAAAAATTTATAATAATAAATGTTTCTTGAGTACTAAATCAGCATATTAGAATGATTTCTGAAGGATAATGTGACACTAAAGACTGAAGTAATGGCTGCTCAACATCAAATGAATAAATGACATTTTATGTATAAAATTATATAAAATATATTCAAAAAGAAAAGTTATTTTAAATGCTAATATTTTACTATATTGCTGTATTTTTGATCAAATAAAAAAAAGGCTTTTTGCATCATCTTACGACCCCACATTTTTGAAGTGTAGTGTAAATATGTTTGGTTTATGAGTACAGTAATAATTCAGTCCCATGGTATATATCAAAGTACTACGGCATTAACATCTGATACCACAGTAAATTTCGAAAGGGTACTCACAACAATTGAAATTGCAGCACTCTTCTGTGTTATGTGTGATCTCTGTACAGTCCTGAACTTCCTGTATGTCACCCTCTGAGCAAAAACAGAATTCATTATCATGATAAACTTCGTTTTTAATATTTGAAACATCATTTCCATGTTAATTTTACCTCTTTGGTTTAGAGGTGTTGTAGGACTATTGTGCTCATTTGATTTGGTTTTCAGGCTGCTATTGTCTTGCTGGGCTGCAGTCAGTGGAAAAGTGGCAGGCTGGGATTCACATGGTTTCAGAAGTTGTTCTGTCTGCTTCAGCAAATATGTCAAATCGGGCTGCTCCACTCCACTACAAAGGTACAAAGTGAAAATTTTAAATTAAATATAAAAAATAAATAAATATTAAAACTTCCTGGGAATTGAACCTATGACCTTAGCATTGCAAGTGCCAATTTTCTAACCTAAGAATGTAATTGATGCAGACGACACTCTCTGGTACACCAGTACGACTGTTGCACACCAATGATGCGTCTGTCTCTGCCCACACATAGCCACCATGTCCGTGCAGCAGCCGATATTTACCTGTCGACACCGGACCCTTGGAAAGCACTGTTCCAGACAGATATTTGAACACTATTAAAGAGATTCTGTTATTTACTCATTCTCATGCCATTCCAAACCTCTATGATGTTCTTTCTCCCATAGAAAACAAAAGATTACAAAAAATAAAATAAAATAGTTTGACTTAAGACTTGCATTATCTTAGAAATAACAAAGTCATATGGGTTTGGAATGACATGGATGTTTTTTTTATTTTTTATTTAACACATAAGGCATAATAAAATCAGTCAAATTAAGCATACAAAGTGGAAAACAGATGACAAGATCTTCCTCTTACAGTAAACGTGTGCCTTGCGGATTTGCTGGCTGTCTGATGGATGATAGTACTGGTACATGGACTGGCCCAACAGCTCTGTGTCACAAAAGCCAGTCAACTTCACAACCCTGAGCCAAAAAAGTGCTTCAAATGTAAAGACGGCCCAGAGAGGGTGAAAGCAATTTCATGTCTGGGCTGTGTACGCTCATAAACGTACTTATATTCAGCACTGCATTCAGTTCAATGATCTCCTGCATGGGCAAAACCCTGTACTGAAGAACTAGACAACTGGATCCAGGTGTGGCAGGTGACTTTTTCTTTCCAGTACACTGAATAATCTTCAGACAGTCAAAGATGTGAAAACAATGACAATTGTGTGGTCTTTTGGAAACAATGGGAAGGCACAAATGCATTCTTACTTTCCAAGGAGTCAGCTTCTGGTTCATCACACTTTTTATTCTGAGGATCACTTCACAATCTTGCTGTTCTCGGTTTCCTGAAATATTAGAAGCCAATCAGATCATAAACCAGCCTGGACGAGCATGGAAATTTATGGTCGAAACTGATCTTTTTAGCAAGAGGTGCTCACCGATCAGTCTCGTGAGAATGTCTTTGACCTCCATCTGATCACATGGATGCAAGAACTCAAACAAACTCCTCCCGATCAAATCCATCTGGAAGAGAAACGTACGAGATTTCCTAAAAGTGCCAGTAAAGTGATTCCAAGTACAGGCAATTCATTTAGTTTTAGTGTCATCACCTGGTTAATTCCAGTGTGTGTAGTTACGCCCTTAGTGGTGAAGATGACCTTGCCATTCAAAGACAACAAAACCACAAACCCTCCGAGGGCAGAATCTAGCAACTCCCTCTCATGAGATTTAGCCGATACTCCTACAATCACAACAGCCTTTAGAAAACTTGCTTTCTTTCAACCCCTTTTCTACTTTCAATCCCTTTTCTTTCTACCTGGTGAAGGAGGAGAGGACTGTGTCATCATGGACAGTGCATTCTGAAGGATAATGTGACACTAAAGACTGAAGTAATGGCTGCTCAACATCAAATGAATAAATGACATTTTATGTATAAAATTATATAAAATATATTCAAAAAGAAAAGTTATTTTAAATGCTAATATTTTACTATATTGCTGTATTTTTGATCAAATAAAAAAAAGGCTTTTTGCATCATCTTACGACCCCACATTTTTGAAGTGTAGTGTAAATATGTTTGGTTTATGAGTACAGTAATAATTCAGTCCCATGGTATATATCAAAGTACTACGGCATTAACATCTGATACCACAGTAAATTTCGAAAGGGTACTCACAACAATTGAAATTGCAGCACTCTTCTGTGTTATGTGTGATCTCTGTACAGTCCTGAACTTCCTGTATGTCACCCTCTGAGCAAAAACAGAATTCATTATCATGATAAACTTCGTTTTTAATATTTGAAACATCATTTCCATGTTAATTTTACCTCTTTGGTTTAGAGGTGTTGTAGGACTATTGTGCTCATTTGATTTGGTTTTCAGGCTGCTATTGTCTTGCTGGGCTGCAGTCAGTGGAAAAGTGGCAGGCTGGGATTCACATGGTTTCAGAAGTTGTTCTGTCTGCTTCAGCAAATATGTCAAATCGGGCTGCTCCACTCCACTACAAAGGTACAAAGTGAAAATTTTAAATTAAATATAAAAAATAAATAAATATTAAAACTTCCTGGGAATTGAACCTATGACCTTAGCATTGCAAGTGCCAATTTTCTAACCTAAGAATGTAATTGATGCAGACGACACTCTCTGGCACACCAGTACGACTGTTGCACACCAATGACGCTTCTGTCTCTGCCCACACATAGCCACCATGTCCGTGCAGCAGCCGATATTTACCTGTCGACACCGGACCCTTGGAAAGCACTGTTCCAGACAGATATTTGAACACTATTAAAGAGATTCTGTTATTTACTCATTCTCATGCCATTCCAAACCTCTATGATGTTCTTTCTCCCATAGAAAACAAAAGATTACAAAAAATAAAATAAAATAGTTTGACTTAAGACTTGCATTATCTTAGAAATAACAAAGTCATATGGGTTTGGAATGACATGGATGTTTTTTTTATTTTTTATTTAACACATAAGGCATAATAAAATCAGTCAAATTAAGCATACAAAGTGGAAAACAGATGACAAGATCTTCCTCTTACAGTAAACGTGTGCCTTGCGGATTTGCTGGCTGTCTGATGGATGATAGTACTGGTACATGGACTGGCCCAACAGCTCTGTGTCACAAAAGCCAGTCAACTTCACAACCCTGAGCCAAAAAAGAGCTTCAAATGTAAAGACGGCCCAGAGAGGGTGAAAGCAATTTCATGTCTGGGCTGTGTACGCTCATAAACGTACTTATATTCAGCACTGCATTCAGTTCAATGATCTCCTGCATGGGCAAAACCCTGTACTGAAGAACTAGACAACTGGATCCAGGTGTGGCAGGTGACTTTTTCTTTCCAGTACACTGAATAATCTTCAGACAGTCAAAGATGTGAAAACAATGACGATTGTGTGGTCTTTTGGAAACAATGGGAAGGCACAAATGCATTCTTACTTTCCAAGGAGTCAGCTTCTGGTTCATCACACTTTTTATTCTGAGGATCACTTCACAATCTTGCTGTTCTCGGTTTCCTGAAATATTAGAAGCCAATCAGATCATAAACCAGCCTGGACGAGCATGGAAATTTATGGTCGAAACTGATCTTTTTAGCAAGAGGTGCTCACCGATCAGTCTCGTGAGAATGTCTTTGACCTCCATCTGATCACATGGATGCAAGAACTCAAACAAACTCCTCCCGATCAAATCCATCTGGAAGAGAAACGTACGAGATTTCCTAAAAGTGCCAGTAAAGTGATTCCAAGTACAGGCAATTCATTTAGTTTTAGTGTCATCACCTGGTTAATTCCAGTGTGTGTAGTTACGCCCTTAGTGGTGAAGATGACCTTGCCATTCAAAGACAACAAAACCACAAACCCTCCGAGGGCAGAATCTAGCAACTCCCTCTCATGAGATTTAGCCGATACTCCTACAATCACAACAGCCTTTAGAAAACTTGCTTTCTTTCAACCCCTTTTCTACTTTCAATCCCTTTTCTTTCTACCTGGTGAAGGAGGAGAGGACTGTGTCATCATGGACAGTGCATAGGAGTCTATGGTGTTCATAAGATCCCTCAGGTGCAGGTAAGCGATTGTGAGACGTATGACTGACGCTTTGTCGCGCTGGCCATCCATACTCGGGTCCAGAGGCAGAAGAGCAGTTAACTCCTTGAATAGCTGACTCTCCTTCCTCCTTCTGCTCCGTGCCGCCAAACGAGAATGCGCTTTTCTCCATTCTGTGCAGACCCTGTATTTAAAGTTTGAGAATCTGAATAACCACAAAACATAAACAATTTAAATTAAGTTGTTTTGCTGCATTAGTTCTTTGCTACATCTTTCAGAATGCATAGTACATTTACATGCAATATTCATTTTGTTCAAAAGCATTTGCATTTAAATGTTTCATGGACTAGGTTTAGTTTTACCATAAGCATGCAAACATTTTAAATGACATTGTTTTGGTTGTATGAGCATGCTGCCATTGTCCTGACTCTCTATTAGCGTCAGAGAACGGAACATTCTAAAGCCACTATGTACCCTGAAGACAGAGGGCAGCACCAGTACTGATGGAAAAAGAGACGTCATGACTGCGTCATTTTGTCTTATCAATACCAAGCGTAGGTGCCTGCAGTTTCTGATATAATGTCATGTCTTCTGAGAATACATTCCCATGTGCATTTACATGCTTTTTGCACTCATTTTGAAATTGCTTAATTCACTCTAAAAAATGTTGGGTTAAATATAACCCAGTGCTGGGTTAAAAAGTCACTGTTAGACATTTCAAAGGGTTTTTACAGTAACTTACTGGCAACACTGTTACTGTA